CACTTGCATTGTATCGCTTTCTTCCCATCAGGCAGCACCACCAGATCCCATGTCCTATTCTCCAGCAGACTCTGGTACTCAGCATCCCTAGAAGCCAGCCACTTGTCCCTATCTGGTCCAGCTAATGCCTCCTCCATGCTAGCTGGTTCCTCTGGTGCAGGGGCAAGAAAACAGTACGCAGGCTCATCCTCCTCATCCGGGTCATAGCCATGAGGTAGAATCAGCAATGCCTCTTCGGTCCCTAGCTGCTGCTCTGCTGCATCAGTTCCTGCAGTCAGCTTCTTAGTAGCCATACGGGTACGTCCTGGCCTGGAGACGGGTGTCTCCCATCCCTTCATAACGACACCCTTCGGCTTCTTAGTTTTTCCCTGCTGCTTCTCTCCTCCCTCGGGTCCAGCAGCTCCACTAGTGCTGCCGCCAGTTTCCACACCATTTTCTCCACCAGCAGATGCCTCCTGTACCTTCTCTCCATCACCATTTCCAGCAGCTGCCTCCTCTCCCTCCTCCCACATACTAGGAGTCAGGTCCAGCTGCATGGTGATCTGCTCCATCTGCTGGGACACCCTTGCCTCCGGCTGTTTCTCCCAGCTCCCATACATCATGCCCTCAATGAATTTCACATCCCTGCTGTCAAACAACACACCCTTGGATGGTTCCCACAGCAGCCATCCCTTGCTCTCAGCAGCCAGCCCCAAATGCACACACCAGATTGCACTCGCCCCCAACTTACTGCGGTAGGTCTTGGGGACGTGGGCGACTGCCATGCAACCGAACACCCTCAGCATGTCCACCGGCGGCTTCCTCCCAAGCCACCTCTCCAACGGCACCCACGAGTCATCCCCAACCTTGGTGAGCACCCTGTTCCTAGCGACAGTGGCGTGCCGGACAGCATGAGGCCACATAGAATTGCTCAGCCCAGATTCTATGAGCAGCGCCCTAGCTGTCTCCAGAATGGTCCGGTTTGCCCGTTCTGCTACACCATTGGACTGTGGGGTATAAGCCGTGGTCAGCTCTCTCTGGATGCCCTGCTTCTTGAGCCAGGCCGTCATTTCAGCTCCAAGGAACTCACCACCCCGGTCTGTCCTAATCCGCTTCACTACACACTCCGCCTGCTTCTCCACGAATGGCAGCCAATCGTCCCGTATCGTGGAGGCGGCGTGGTCCTTCTGCTTCAGCGGATACGCCCACATCAGCCTGCTCTAGTCATCCACAATTGTAAGAAAATACCGCTCCCCCTTGTGCCCTTGCACCGGCAGCGGCCCCACCAAGTCCATGTGGACCAGCTCCAAAGGCTTCTTGCTCCTGCCAGCCACACTATGGAAAGGGAAACGGGTGAACTTTGAAAGCAAACAGATTTCACAGTTGTCATCGGGTGGCTGTCCGTTCAGCTTCAGACCCTTAACGGCTCCATCCTTCTCCAGCTGCTTCAGCAAAGGCATTGCCACATGCCCTAAGCGCCGGTGTGCCGTTGCCCAATCTGTCTCCCCAGATCTGGCCGACACTTTCACACCAACCCCTCCAACGGCATTGCACTCCCCCTGGGATGCAGACCCCTCTCCAGCCTGCCCCCCACCATGCCACGCCAGGGCCGGCAGCTGCCACATAGATCTGTACACGTCCTTGCTCTCGTGCAGATCCCAAAGCACCCGATTGCCCAGCTTCCCCTTATAAGTGCGTGCCCCATCCGTGTTGGTGTTCACCCCAGCCTTGCCAAGCTTACGGAGGGAGATAAGGTTGGCCTTCAGGTCGGGGACGAAGAGAACGTCGTGCAGCACCACCGGCTTGCCATCCGCTCCCTTAAACGCAGCTCGTCCCGCACCAGCCACCTTCAACATGTGTCCAGAGGCGGAGCACACTTCATTGATCGGTGCAGCTCGTACTTCGTCCAGCAGGTCCTTGCGCGGCGTCATCGTCCAAGCAGCGCCTGTGTCCAACACCCAATAGTCTAGGGGGTGCAGCTCTGCTCCAACTTTGGCAGAGGCGTCTCCTTGCTCCCCCTTGTCTCCCACATGGAAGAATTGGCCCGCGGTGCGCTCCTTCTTCTTCTCCGCACCGCCGTTGCCCTTCGGGTTGTTGTCGGACGAATCAGCGACCATGTTGGCGCCGTTTTTCTGGTTCCTCCGCGCGCCGCCATCCTGGTGACGATTCTGGGGGGTCCATCCATCGGGTTTCTTATAGCACAAAAACCAGGGGTGCCCTTCCTTCTCACAATACCAGCAACTCTCTTTCATTTTGCCACCAGCACCCGACTTGCCCCCACGTCCAGATTTCGCACCGCGACCCCAACCGGTACCTCCTTGTTGGTCGTTGGAGTCGTCGTCTTTCTTTGCACCGCGTCCAGCACCACCGAAGCCACGTCCTCTGCCACGTCGGCTCCCTTGCATCCCGTAGCCGCTGCTGCCGTCGTCTCCACCCCTCAGTTGGCGGCGACGGAAGTCCTCCTCCAGAATCTTCGTCCGCACCCACTCGAGCGTCCACAAGCTCTGGTTCTGCGGCAGGCTCAATCCGCTCGTAAATTGAAGCCACGATTCCGGCAGCAGCGAGAGCATCTTCAAGCACTTGGTCTGCTCCGGGTAGGTGATTCCCGCGGTCGCCAACTTCGCGTAGAGGTCGCGCATCTTGTCCAGGACTGGTTGCACCGGCTCTCCCTCGCTCAGGCGCAACACGGACAGCTCCCTCTCCAGCATCAACGTTGCGACAACGGAGGTAGGGGCGTGCAGCTCCTTCAACACGGTCCACGCCTTCGGACCGCATTCAACCTCCGGCAGCAGGTGCATGACGTGGTGACGCTGGTTCAGCTCCAAACTCTGCGACATCAAATAGTAGCCAGCCGAGGAGCGCTCGTCCCAATCTTCCTGCAGCGTGGGGTCACTCGGTCTAGGCTCCTCCCCAATCATTAGTTTCAGCAAACCGATCTGACGGAAATATAATTGCATTTTCCAGGCCCAATCATCATAGCCCTCACCATTGAACTTCTCGACGGTGAAATTCTTCAGCACCTCCTTGACAAGCGAGCCCTGGTTTGTTCGCGCTCCCCTTGGCGCTGAAAGACCAGAATCTTGGCTGCCGCTACGATCTTGGGCTGAAGATTCACCAGCTCCCGCCGAGGTGTTGCCCGCCATAGCTACCTATAACGAGGATCACTATAACGCAGCTCTGATACCAGCTTGTTGGTGTAAGGGCCTAATAAACTCAAGCTATTAGGACTTAATCAAACTTAAAACCTCTCCTCGGGGTCACCTCCAAGGGTCCCTGGGTGCCTGGTACAAGACCAGCCCCTATCCTCGGGTCCGAGTTTGTAGAGAGAGGAATCAAGAAGGACTTAGTCAAAACAGCAAGAGTACCTTGAACGTCGCGCAGCGTGCCGTGCAGACCGTCGATCGGATTAAGCTGAGAATTCGCTATATCGAAGCTCGCTCCAAGAGCTTTAAAATGAGCCAAGTTGCCTCGCGAAAAGTTCTGCCATTACGAAGTTATGGCTCAGACGGTGTTTGCCTAGCATTAGAGTGCTAGCGTACTAGCGTTGACTCGGGTAGCATTCCGCCAACGAACCGCGTAGAAACGAAATTCCAGCGAGGAAGGAATTCGCATGAATCAATTTGACTATATTCAGGTACAAACAGAGAAGGATTAAATAGTTCTAGCTAGCAAGGACCTTGGGAATCAACCTGGGAACAACCAGGGATGATCCCAAATAATTCCAAGCAACAGAACCAACCTGGCTGGACAAAATAGCAGGTGGTAGGTTGGTAAACAACCTCTGGTTCTGTTTTTCCAACCTGGGAAAACAACAACCAGGTTCAGGTTCTAAAAACAGAACCTGTTTTGTCTTTGCCCAACCAGCCAAATGCTGGTTCCGCTGGTTTCCCCTGGCCTTGTAGCATGCAGATACAGACAAACAACATCCAACCTTCACCTAAATTGTACCCCTATAGTGCCTTCCCTGCTACACTATAGTTAACCAAACAAAACAGTACAATTCCGAGTTGGATAGAACTGAATCTGCGCAATCAACTCAACCGAACTGCAAAGCTTCCATCTTGGGTTCCTTTGCGAGCTCGTCCTTCCTGCTTGCACTGTTCATAGCGCATACAATGTTGTGCCAAAGCGCACATTGCGCGAGTACCTGCAAATGCATCAAGCGAAAAATGCGAAAGCAAACAAACACACGAACACACCATTCACACGCAAATGCATTCGCACACACATACTCGTACAAACAGACGGCAGGATGTCGTGCAATGTGCATTTGCACCCAACACAGAGCCGTCGAGCCGCCGAGCCGCCGAGCCGTCGTTGCCGCCGAGTTGCCGAGCCGTCGAGCCGCCACTGCCGCCGTGCTGCCGAGCCGCCGAGACGCCGGTGCCGACGAGCTGCCGAGCCGCTGAGCCGCCGAGCCGCCGTTCCTGCCGTCCCGGCCCTGTTCCTGCCGACGCGCCTCGGTCCTTCTCGCCTGCCCGGTAAGAGCAGCGCCTCCACCACTGCTCTGCCCTAGCCTGCTGCTCTCACTGCTAGTCTACTGCTGTCATGGCTTCCCCCAGTGTCCTCACTTTTGATGCTGAGGGTCGGGCCATTGACTTTGACGTCTGGGTAGATGACCTGCAGCTTTTCCTACTGAGCGACAGAGCAGACGGCCTCTCCCTTTTTGACCTCACCTCTGGTGCCTCTCCTGCCCCTGCTGCTGATGCTGACCCCACTGTTCGCTCCCAGTGGGCCACACGCGATGCTGCTGCCCGCCTTGCTGTGCGCCGCCACTTGCCGACCTCTGAGCGTGCGCACTTTAGCCAGTACAAGAGTGCTAAGACCTTGTACGACGCTGTAGTTGCGCGCTACTCTTCCCCTGCCACTGCTGCACTTAGCCGCCTTATCCTACCGTACCTCTTCCCTGACCTCGCCGCTTTTCCCACTGTCGCTGACCTCATTACGCACCTTCGCACTAGTGACACTCGCTACCGCGCTGCGCTTCCTGCTGAGTTCTGCGCCAAGAACCCCCCCCCCCCATGTACATCACCCTCTACTACATAGTCACCCGGCTCCCTGACACCCTTCGCCCGGTTAGGGACCACTTCCTCTCTGTTTGCCCCACCACCCTCACCGTTGACCTCCTCGAGGAGCGCCTGCTCGCGGCAGAGAAGAGCATAGTCGCAGTAGGTGCCTCTCGTGGTGACCCTCGTACCCCTGTCTTTGAGGGGTGCTCCCCCTCTCCCCTCTTGCCCTCTGTTGCCTCTGCTGCTGCGGCCGACCTCGTTGGTCTTGAGTCGGTCGCTGCGGCGTCTGCCCCTAGCGGGAGACGCCGCCCTGGCAAGGGCAAGGGGGGCAAGGGTGCTGGAGGGGCTGGAGGGGGCGGTGGAGGCGGAGGTGGAGGTGGTGGAGGGGGTGGGGGTGGCGGTGGGGGTGGTGGCGGGGGTGGGGGCGTCGGTGGCGGGACTGGAGGTGGAGGTGGAGGCGGCGGTGGCGGTGGGAGCGGAGGTGGCGGAGGTGGCGGTAGTGGAGGAGGTAGCGGCGGAGGCGGCGGAGCTGGTCGGGGTGGCGCTGCGCAGAGGGGTGGCTCCGGTGGTGGTGCGCGCCAGCAGCAGCAGCAGCAGCGTACCCGTGAGACCCCTTCCTCCCAGCAGCTTCGTGAGTGGTACGCTGCTCGTCAGCGGGGTGGGGGTGCTGGCCCCTGCACCTACGTTCTCCGTACCGGCGACCGGGCGGGTGAGCAGTGTGGAGGCCCGCACCCCACCCAGCGCTGCTTCGGTCGGCTGACAGACGCGTGGCGCCACCAGTTCCCCGACGCTACGGAGATCCCTCGCTGGGGCGAGCTGTCTAGGGCGGGTGTTGCAATCTATGATCTTGACTTTGATGCTATTCTTGCTGCCATGTATGCTGTGACTATTAGTGATGAGGGTGACTGTTACCGGTGTTTCCCGCCTGACCCAGGCATAGAGGCTGCTGCGCTAGGTACTTGTGAGGCTGCTGCTCTAGGTGCCAGTGCGTCTGCTGCCCCAGGTGCCGGTGAGTTTGCGCTCTCAGGTGCTGCGTCGCCCCCGGACACCCACACCTTCACCCTTGACTCGGGTGCTTCCCGCTCCTTCTTTCGAGACTGCACCACTCTCACACCGCTCAGTCGGCCTGTTGCGGTCTCCCTAGCGGACCCCTCTGGGGGTCCTGTCCTTGCTCACTACTCCACTGTCCTACCGTGTCCAGCGGTCCCGTCTGGCTCCCTGTCGGGTCTCTACCTCCCCTCGTTCTCTACGAACTTGGTGGCGGGTGCTGACCTCCAGGATGCAGGAGTTGACCAGTTCACCCCTGCGCGTCAGCGGGTGACCCACTGCACTTGTGCGGACACGGGCCGCCACTTGGCCACGTTTGCTCGTCGGCCAGGGTCGAGCCTGTACACACTGACTACTGAGTCTTCCCCAGTCACTGAGTCTGCTCAGGTAGCCGCGTCGGGTCAGGTGTTTGCTGCGGCGTCCAGGTCTGGTCCTGAGTCTGCCCCCTGCTCGTGTCGTCTCCTGTCTCACCGGACTCTCCTCTGGCACCACCGTCTTGGTCACCCCTCCCTGCCTCGCCTTCGAGGCATGGCTTCCCGTCTTCTTGTTTCTGGTCTCCCCCGGTCCCTCCCTCCTCTTCCTCCGGGGCCTGCCCCCACCTGCGTTCCCTGCGTCGAGGGGCGGCAGCGCGCTGCTCCTCACTCCTCCGAGTTTCCTCCGACAGAGGCTCCGCTGCAGACGCTTCACATGGACGTGTGGGGCCCAGCCCGCGTCCGTGGGCAGGGTCAGGAGCGCTACTTCCTGCTGGTGGTTGACGACTACTCGCGTTACACCGCAGTCTTCCCCTTGCGCAGCAAGGGTGACGTCACTGAGGTGTTGATCGCCTGGATCCGCGCGGCTCGTCTCCAGCTCCAGGAGAGTTTCGGCTCCGACTTTCCTGTTCGGCGTCTGCACTCCGACCGAGGCGGAGAGTTCTCCTCTGACCTTCTGCAGACCTTCTGTCGCACACGAGGCATCCGCCAGACCTTCACGCTTCCGGACTCTCCGCAGCAGAATGGGATTGCTGAGCGCCGCATCGGCATGGTCATGGACGTCGCTCGTACGTCCATGATCCATGCGGCTGCTCCCCATTTTCTGTGGCCGTTTGCGGTTCGGTACGCGGCGCATCAGCTCAACCTTCACCCCCGGGTCTCCATGCCGGAGACCTCCCCTGCTTTGCTGTGGACGGGGAAGGTTGGTGATGCGTCGCGTTTTCGGGTCTGGGGATCTAGGGCGTTTGTCCGCGACTTGTCTGCGGACAAGCTGTCCTCTCGTGCTGTTCCCTGCGTCTTCCTTGGCTTTCCCCCTGACGCGCCAGGCTGGCAGTTCTACCACCCCACCTCGCGCCGTGTTCTGTCCTCCCAGGACGTCACCTTTGACGAGTCGGTTCCCTACTACCGTCTCTTCCCCTACCGCACTGCGTCCCTCCCTCCCCCGCCGCTCTTCCTTACACCAGGCCCCCCTCCGGTAGACCCCCTCCCCCCTCAGGGTCCTGCTCCCTCAGGTGTGTCCCAGGTAGATGCAGTTGAGCCAGTCGAGGTAGCTGTTGACTCTGGTACTGCTGGTGGTGCTGAGCCTGGGGGTGCTGGGTCTGGGGGTGCTGCAACTGGGGGTGCTGGGTCTGGGGGTGCTGCGACTGGGGGTGCTGAGCCTGGGGGTGCTGAGCCTGGGGGTGCTGAGCCTGGGGGTGCTGCGCCTGGGGGTGCTGCGCCTGGGGGTGCTGCGCCTGGGGGTGCTGAGCCTGGGGGTGCTGAGTCTCGGAGTGCGGAGCCTGAGAGTGCTGGACCTGCTCGTCCGGCGTCTGGTGGTGCTGAGCCTGGCGGTTCCTCCGGTGCTTCGTCCCGGCGGGAGCTGCTCTCTCCACAGGAGCTGCGTGAGTGGTTCGCCCGGCGCTGGCGACGTGCTGCTGGAGCTGGTGGTGCTGCAGGAGCTGGGGGTTCTACTGCTGCTGAGAGTGCTGGTGCCGAGGGTCCCAGAGGTGCTCGTACCGAGTGTACTGGAGCTGCTGACCCTACGAGTGCTCCTCCTGCTGGAGCTGGTGGTGCTGCTGGTGTTGCTGGCGCTGGAGCTGCTGGTGCTGCTGGAGCTGCTGGTGCTGCTGGTGCTGCTGGTGCTGCTGGTGCTGCTGGTGCTACTGGCGTTGGTGCTGCTGGAGCTCCTGGAGCTGGAGCTGCTGCGTCTTCGGGTGGTCCGGCTGGAGCTGGAGCTACTGGGGGTGTTGGCGCTGGGGGTGCTCCTGGCGCTGGTGCTGCTGGGGGTGCTGGAGTTGGAGCTGCTGGAGTTGCGGGTCTTCCTGGTGCTGGTGCTCCCGCTGGGGGCGCTGGTGCTGTTCCTGCTGGCACTGGTGGAGCTGCGCGGCCGCGGCCGTACTTCGTTCCGCTCCTTGAGCAGGTTCTTGGTCTTCCGTCCTCTCTTGGTCCTGCTCCTGCCTTAGAGTGTCCGCCTCCTGTCCAGTCTGAGTCACAGTTACAGCCACCTTCCCCGCTTCCTTCTCCTTCTCCCTACACTGGTCCTACTGGAGGTCTTGCTGAGCGTCGTGAGCCTGCGTCTCGCCCTGCGTCGCCTGTCCGTGCTGCTCGCACTAGTGGTCGTGGTTCGCGTCAGCGTCCTCCCCCTGTCCCCGGATGTCTCTGCGTCCTTCCACTGCTCCGCTGCGTGCCCCTTTGCCCTCTCCTCCAGCGTCCTCTCTTCCTGAGCTTCCTGACCCGGAGTCGGACTCCCTTCGTGCTGCGCGTCCTACTGTCACGCGTCTCCTTGCTACTGTCGTCACTGACCCTTCCTTTGAGTCTACTGCTGCGTCTGCCCTAGTTGCTGAGCTTGTCGACTTCGCTGCTCGCTGTCGCCTAGACTACGCTACCAGTCTCGTCGCTGAGTCTGAGTCTGTCTGTCCTCCGTCCGTCGGGGGTGAGTGTGCTCTTGGCACGGACGTCCTAGAGGACAGGCAGGAGGAGTTCCAGTGCTTGGCTGCTGTTTCACCTCATCTCGTGTCCATGCTGCTTGCCCCTGAGGGAGACCCGGATGCACTTGACATCCCGACTCCGCGCTCTTACGCGGAGGCGATAGAGGGTCCCTACTCCTCTCAGTGGCAGGCAGCCATGGACGCAGAGATGGCTTCCTGGAAGTCCACAGGCACCTACGTTGACGAGGTTCCCCCGCCTGGGGCGAACATCGTCAGTGGCATGTGGATTTTCAGGGTGAAGCGGCCGCCGGGTTCTCCGCCTGTCTTCAAGGCGCGTTACGTGGCTCGTGGTTTCAGTCAGCGGCAGGGAGTTGACTACTTTCAGACTTTCTCCCCCACCCCGAAGATGACCACTCTTCGGGTACTGCTGCACATAGCTGCTCACCGAGACTACGAGCTGCACTCTCTTGACTTCAGCACTGCTTTCTTGCAGGGCAGCCTTCACGAGGAGATCTGGCTGCGCCGCCCACCTGGCTTCACTGGGACGTTTCCTCCTGGCACCCAGTGGAGCCTCCGGCGGCCAGTCTACGGTCTCCGCCAGGCGCCACGTGAGTGGCACGACACACTGAGGACTACACTTGCGGCCCTTGGGTTTGCTCCTTCTACTGCCGACCCGTCGCTGTTTCTGCGCACCGACACTTCTTTGCCGCCGTTCTACATCCTCGTGTACGTCGACGACTTGGTCTTTGCTACAGCTGACACTGCTGGACTCGCCTATGTGAAGTCGGAGCTGCAGAAGAGACACACGTACACAGACCTGGGTGAACTGCGCAGCTACCTTGGCTTGCAGATCACCAGGGACAGAGCACAGCGCACCATTACCCTGACTCAGTCACATATGGTGCAGCAGGTCCTTCAGCGCTTCGGCTTCACGTACTCCTCGCCTCAGGCCACTCCTCTGCCTACGCGCCACTCGCTCTCAGCTCTGCCTTCGGATGAGTCCGTAGAGTCGAGTGGCCCGTACCCAGAGCTTGTGAGCTGCCTCATGTACCTGATGACCTGCACTCGACCTGACCTTGCATACCCTCTTAGCATTCTGGCACGCTTTGTTGCTCCTGGGAGACACAGACCAGAGCACATGGCTGCAGCGAAGAGGGTGTTCCGGCTCTGTTTCTTGGCGGTCTACCCGCTCGTCTTCTGTTCTCAGTTCCAGTTGTGAGGCTGAGATCTACGCAGGGGCCATGGCTGCACAGGAGCTACGCTGGCTCACCTACCTGCTGACTGACCTGGGAGAGCTGCCTCGTTCTCCTCCAGTGCTGTACGTAGACAACAAGGCCATGCTGGCCTTGTGTCATGAGCACAGACTGGAGCACAGAACGAAGCACATCGCTCTCCGCTACTTTCTTGCTCGTGAGCTGCAGCAGCGTGGTCAGCTGCGCCTTGCTTACGTGGCCTCTGAGGCCAACACTGCTGATATCTTCACTAAGGCACTCGCGCCTTGTGATCATCAGCGCTTCTGCACTCTGTTAGGTCTTGTACCTACCTTGCCTCACTTGCTTACTTCTTGACCTTGCTTGTACTGTTACATATATATACCTGCCTGTTTAGCTTTATATATATGTGACCTTGCATGTGAACTGGCCTTGTGGCCTTGAACTTGTGCTCAGACTGTGTGGTGACGTTGTGATCCACCCTGAGCTTGCTTTGCCTTGCTTTGCTTGACTGGTCTTGTGACCCCTTGTTCTCCCCCACTTTGCCTATGGGGGTGTGTCAAACTTATACACTATAGTCTGTGTAGGCTGTAGTGGGGTAGCTCATATGGGGTACAACATTCTAGGGTTTGGTACTTGTACTCCTCATGCTGCTCAATGCACTCATTCTCGTTCCAATTGCCACAAAGGGGATTATTACCTAAAAGCCGGAACCGACCGGATTTGGGTTCCCGCTTACCGGCTGCTGCGTAAACTCCTTGTCCAAGAGGTCCACGATTCAAACTTCTCCTAACTTTTCGGGGTTGAAAATACCCAAAAATAGTTGCACCGTCAATATTATTGGCCCGACTCCTCGAATGATGTGTAGCGATATGTGTCCTCATGCAGGGTGTGCCAAGCAATAAAATCGACACGTCAACGGCCAACTGGATTGCTGCAACCCCTTGAGCCACCCTAAACCGTGGCAACAAGTGATGATGGATTTCGTCACAGGGCTGCTAGCTGGACCGTCCGGCAACGACGGCGTTCTCGTCGTCGTCGATCGCCTCACGAAAATGGCGCACTTCGCACCGTGTCGTACAACCATCACAGCCAAAGATACCGCGCTCCTCTTCACCTCTATGGTCGTGCGACTGCACGGAATTTCCTCGGCGATCATCAGCGACCAAGATCCGAAGTTCATATCGAAGTTTTGGAAGGAGACGTGGGCGCAGTACGGCATGAAGCTACAGTTATCATCGGCATACCACCCGCAAACGGACGGGTAGACCAAGCGCACCAACCAGACTATGGAGCAGCTAATCAGTATAAACTGGCCCTACCCAGCTCGCTGGGAACAGTCGCTCGCCATGCTGGAGTTCGCGTTCAACAACGCCACGTCCAGCACGACTAACCACTCCCCGTTCTTCCTAAATTACAGGATGGACCCGACGGTTCCTACGACGACTACACTCGACAACCCAGTCCCGCGGTCACAAACATTTGTGACAGAACTGCAGGAAACTTACGAAAAGGCTGCCGACTCAATCCGGAAGGCGAATACCACTTCCCGCAAATACACTGACCTTCTACGCCGGGAACTCATCTTGGTCACTGAGCAATTAGTGCTGCTTAATACGAAGAACCTAAACCTGCTTAGCCCGTCGAAGCTATGGCCACGATTTTGTGGGCCTTTCAAGATCCTCAAGATGGTGACACCTATCACCGCGAAGCTGCTGCTACTCGGAGTCCGGCGTATTCACGACGCCTTCCACGTCAGCTTACTTCGCAAGTTCGTGCCAGCCACAACAGACATTGCGCGACAAAATGCTGCACCAGCAGCACGACCTGTTTCGGAGCGGACCCTCGACCCATCGAAAATTCGGGCGCATCGTGTACGACTTGACGCAGCCCGTCGCCACGTGGATTTTCTGATCCGATGGACTGATCGCACCAGTGAAGACGACACGTGGGTGCCATCCGCCTCGCTTGAAGCGTCCTCGTTTATTGCTGATTACCTTGCGCGCATGCGTGTTGTGAATAATGACAACCTTTCATAAAGCCAGGGTCTCAAGTATACGAGTGCTTTGTAGTTGGTGGTAGGAGGTCGACTGGGATTGGTTGGCGAGGTCCAAGTTTTGGGGAGGGGTGAAGCGAGGGTTGCGAAGTGGACACAAATCGTTGAATTGTTTCCGAACCATTGAGCCACGGAAGTTGGTGTGGGCTGAAGCTGAAATGCTAGCAACTTTCCGAAAGCCCCGAAAGTCCCAAGTAAAAAGTCGAATGTTTTGCAATTCTTGTTGGGGCAAAAACAGGGGTGCGTCGCACACTACTTCCCAGGCCAACCAGTCAGCTCGCCTGCTGCAAACAGAGTAACGGAGCTTCAATTGCTTTGCAGTTGATGCCAGAATCTATTAATTGAGACCCTGGCTCTAAGGGGGGGGGTAGTGTAAGGAATTTTACCGATTTCCTTATCGGGGTTGACAGCTTCTCGTAAAGCCCCGATTCTCGAACTCTGCACGTTCGGCCGACATCAACCATGCTGAGGCTCCTCGCGTCGCCTTCGGCTTTTCCCTTCGCCAAACCTGCACCCAACCTCGCTCACCTGAGGTTCCCTCCTAGCTAGACTAGCCTCTACATTAGTGTGTGCCTTCATTGTATTCTAAGTTCGTTTAATCACAGTCTGGTTATTGGTTTATCTGCGCACTCTCTTTTACAAGTCATAACAATTAGCGAGGCTAGAGTGGTAACGACAACGCGAGAAATTGGGGTGCGCTACGAGGCGGAGGTCAAGAGCGCAGGTTACCAACTAAACTGCGAGGTTGGGTCGCGTCGTGAACAGTGGTGGGAACAGTGGTCGAGGCGAGTGTCGCGAGTGGTAACGGTGTACTGTTTTGTACTGTTGGCAGGAACAGTTGTGTATGCGATAAGCAGGGGCGCGAAGTAAGGAAAAAGGTTTTTCCTTACACTCCCCCCCCTCCTAAGGAGGCCCTTCTTACGGTAGTGCATGTACGTCCCAAAAGTTGTGGCTGAGCAGGTACTCGGTGAGAACAGGGTGGGTTTTGATTCTATCCAGGGGCAACCAGTTGTCTTCGGTGAACGTGCAATCTTTCCAGCGAATCAGAAACTCGATCCTGCGGGCTCCACGTGGGTCACGAACTCGGTGGCTAAGGATTTTCTTGGGCTGTGATGATTGGCTCCGTCGGTGGGCGTGTCATGCTGGCTGGGAGGTTGACGGGTGTAATTATGTGGCTGATGCGAAATGGTCCGCAATATTGAGGGTGGAATTTTGGGGTTACGGGCTGGCGGAGGTTCCGGGCGTCGAGTAATATGTGGTCGTCGGGCTGGTAAGTGACGGGGTGGCGGTGGAGATCGGCGTTGAGTTCAGCAATGATGCTAAATTTGTTAATGGCATCTGCTGCTCGGGTCCGGGCTGCCTATCGCGTTCGCCGATGATTGCTGTTGATATCCCGTAGGTCGAACGACCCTGGAGATGAAGAGTCAAGCAGTTTTTTTGACTATGATTGATTTTTTGCAAGCTGCAAAATGTGCCATTTTCGTCAGCCGATCGACGACGACCAGGATTGCGTCGTTCCCATTCGCCCCAGCCGGTAACCCCGTGACGAAGTCCATCGTCATCTGCTGTCAAGCGCACTCTGGAGGTGGTATCGGTTGCAACTTTCCTGCCGGTCGTGTCGTGGTGACTTCATAAGTTGGCAGGTGCAACACGATGCCACTTGTCGCTGCATGTCGGTCAGCATCTCGGGCCAGTAGTAATATCGCTGCAGTGGCTGCCATGTTTTCTCTACTCCGAAATGTCCTCAGGTAACTTCGTTGTGTGCCTCCCGTAGCAGTAACTCCCATAGTAAAATGTAGCCCACCGCCCAGATGCGATCGCTACCGGCTATTACGTAATAAACCTTTTTTGCTGCTACGAACTACTGCGAATTTCCTCCGGTAAAGAATGGATATTTTTGGTAGCCGTGGGTAAATAGTCATGTGAGCAGTGGGCTGGTTTGGGCAGTTGGGCGGGACAGTGCGGCAGCGATATTCGAGGCTCCCTTTTTGTTGGTGATCGTATAGTGGAAGTTTGACTCAAGGAAGTCGAGCCAGCGAAGCTGTCGTAGGTTGAGGTGGGGCTGTGCTCGGAGGTACTGTAGTGTTTTGTGGTCCTACGTACAGTCACGTCGGCGCCGGTCAAGCAACAACGCCACACTTTGAACGCATGCATAATTGCGAGCATTTCGCGGTCGTGTATCGGGTAATTTTTTCTGGCGGTTGCAGTTTTCGCGACTCGTATGTGATAGGCTGTAATCCGTTGCCGAAGTCCTGTAGCAGTACCGCTACAACGGGCATGTTGCTTGCATCTGTATCTATTTCGAATAAGCGGTGTGGGTCGGCAATGCGTAGTATGGGCGGTGAACAAAGAACAATTTCAGGGCAGAGAAGGCAGGATGCTCTTTCTACCACCACGTAAAAACAACCCCCTTCCGTAGCAAATCCGTTAGTGGTCCGTAAACTGTGCCATTCGGGGATGAACTGACACACGTAATTTACGAACCCAAAAAAAATTGCAGCTCGTGATGTTTGTCGGGGGGTGCCACGCTTCACTGTGTCTATCTTCTTCGAGTCGATCTCGAGCCCAGCCTCCTAAATGACGTCGCCTAAGGAATTCTAGCCGGTCTTGAAAAAAGTCG